TCTTCCCAACGGGACAACAGGAGGAGAAAGATGAGAATTTTGGAGGTCACTGATAGAAGGGGGAGTTTTAGATGTTTTTGTTCGTCGTCATCTTGTCTCTTCCTTCCAGTGATGTGGAAGGAGGAGAATGATGATAGTTTCAGAAGTCCCAGACAGGGAAAAATTTTCTATTCGGACTCCGGACGTAGCTCTACGTGCAGACACCAATAATATGCCGCCACGTGTGCTATATCGCGGAGGTTACTTCAGGGTTATTGAAATGGAACCGCAAAGTTTATTTCGAGAATTTTTTGGGGTTATTGAAGAGAAACCATATATTCAATTTCAATAATCCCAAAATAACTCAGAGATAACCTCGAAATAACCTTCCTATGTTCACTCCAATAATCTCGAAATAACACCGCAGAGGTTATTTTTGGGTTATTGAAGTGGAATATGTGTTTCCTTTCAATAACCCCAAAATAACCCTTAAATAACCTCTGCGGTGTTATTTCGAGATTATTGGAGTGAACATAGGAAGGTTATTTCGAGGTTATCTCTGAGTTATTTTGGGATTATTGAAATTGAATATATGGTTTCTCTTCAATAACCCCTAAGTAAACCCGATATAGCACAAATGTCGGTATATTACTAGGAGTCCGCACGAAGTGCAACGTCCAGAGTCCGGATAGAAAATTGATTCCTCCGAGCACATCGCGATTGAACGTCGGGATTAACGTATGTCGATTTTGTGTGTGGGCTTCATAATATTAAAGTTAAATAGTAATGTTTTTTTGTGCTCAGTATATTAAAACTTAAAAATATATCAAGATAGTTATTTTTTTACTGGTAATTATTTATTAATTTTGCAACCAATTAAGAAAAAAATTAAATTTTAGGATAAGTTATTGCCCATCAGTGGTGTACCTAAGGCTGCACTTCTTAAGGTAAATATTTATTCTCGTCTAACTTGTAAGTTAATAAAATTTTCACATTTAAATCTAAAACCTCTCAAATGTCCAATTTCAAAAATAAGACACAATTAAACTTTAAAAAAAATATTTAAGTTTGTGTAAAGATTACATGAAGTATATGGAGTACAATTAGGGCTGTCTGAACGGCTCGTTGTTTGTGAACAACTCGTGCTCGACTAGTTAAGAAGCTCGTGTTCGGCTCGTTCGCTAAGTTAACGAGTCGATCACGAACAAATATTTGTTCGTTCGTGTTCGGCTCGTTTTGACTCGAAATATTACTAATCAATTATATATATATAGATCTTTGATGAGTAGTATTTTTAAAAAATTTAATTGACTACAAGGCTTCAAAGATTTTATAATTAATTGAAAGTATTAGTTAAGAAAATAGAATATAAATTATTAAATTAGATTCAAATGATGTTTTAAATCTTGCCTAAATCCTTGACATCTTATGGCTACGTGATTAGGGTTGTCAAAACGACTTTTTGTTCGTGAACCACTCGTGTTCGGCTTGCTAAGCAAACAAGTAGAACACAAACACACTTTTTGAGCTCAAAATATAAACAAGCCGTGCACAAACATACTTTTTGAGCTCGAAATATAAACGAGTTCGGCTCGTTTACACCCCTAAGTACAAGTACAAGTATAGTTTACACCCCTTAAGTACAAGTACAAGTATATAGACGTGATAATATTATAATTTGTTCATATGATCTTCAAAATTTGTTTGTTTTATGTCAATTTAATGAGTATTTATGCGAGTTAATCAACAAACAAAAAAAAATTGTACGAGTTTCTGGTTTTTAATTATTGTTTTCAATAAATGATCTTATAAATTTAAATATATAAATAATTGAATAAATTTTGAATTGATATATAATTATTATACACAAATTAAATAATAAAATGTATTAAGAATAAATGTATTAATTTTAAATCACATATATCATTCCTAAATTGAGCCTGTGAATGAACAAAAAATGGCGCGAACAAGTCAGAAATATGGAATGAGTAAAGCCTACGACTACTCAGTGTTGAGCAAACTGTGATTTCTAAAAGAGAAAAATATTTTAAGATATAAAATATTATATAATTATTGTAAATTATACGATTAATGAATATATATATTATATATTTATATAATGATTAATTAATTAATATTAAAAAGTGTGAGACTATTTTGAATAATGATTTATTGATTAAAAAATAATTATATAATTAATAATTAATCTTAAAATATTATTGAAAAATAATATATTACTAATAAATCTAAAATTAAATAAGTTGAGTTTGTCAAGTTTTATTTAAATTATGTATGGTATATCATTTGAGTTATTATCATAAAAGCAAACATTTAACAAGTTATTTATTGAAAAATATATGATTTTATTCGTGAACATAAATAAATAAGTTAGATTATGTTCATGTTTAATTCATCTAACCGTTAAGCTTTTACAAAACTTTCAAGCTTGTTTATTTACTAATTTAAACAAATATAGTCAAATATTAATCAAGCTGAGTTCTAGTTGTTTGCATTAGTTCATTTACATCCCTAAAAACAAGTTAAGACATTAATCTCCCTATCATTATAAGGGAAAGATGAAGACCGGCTAAATTGTTTGAATTACGGTCAAAAGAGATCTGCCCCAACTTGTTCAGAGTAAAATTTTGAACATCTAGAGCTCATTCAACAGAGCTCGAGACAACATCAACACTAATAATCATAAAATACCATCCACAGCACTTAAGGTTGATGCAACTTCACAACAACTCTAATCAGAAAAAGATTACATGATTTAACACTACCTCACCAGAGACAATACACCGCATTTCTGTTTCACTACCACACGAACTCCTTCACCTCTTTCGAATGTAAATGAACACTCATCTCTCATTATCTCTCTCTTGTTTGTGGCTTGTGAGTCCTGACTCGCCTCTATGAATGTTGCTTATTTTTTAAAAAAAGATCGTGCTATTTTCTTATAAACAATTAAATTTATTACTTTTTATTTGCTCGAGCACGATTCAAGTCGAACAAATTGTTTGAATTACACTAATAATCATAAAATACCATCCACAGCACTTAAGGTTGATGCAACTTCACAGCAACTCTAATCAGAAAAAGATTACATGATTTAACACTACCTCACCAGAGACAATACACCGCATTTCTGTTTCACTACCACACGAACTCCTTCACCTCTTTCGAATGTAAATGAACACTCATCTCTCATTATCTCTCTCTTGTTTGTGGCTTGTGAGTCCTGACTCGCCTCTATGAACTTTCTCTACTCAGAAATCTAAACATCTCTTATCTCATTTAGTCAATCACGTGTTAGTTACTTGGCTAACCTCTCTCTTGTCTCTTATTTTTAGTATCAGCAGAAGATATTACCCACATTCGGGGCTAGTATATGAATATGATTGCTTTATTCTTTGGTTAATAGTTAGGGTATGACATTTCGGTGTACCAACAACAGGAATCATAATATTTAGGTTTATGGTTGCACTATGTTTTCTCAGTATTAGCATTAATTTGATTCTTTAGTGTGTCTTTTTGTGGAAAGCCTTTACTTTGTTGAAGGTTTTCTTTTTCTTCCCTATGGTACTCTTGCTTTAGGAATCTCTATTTTTCCCAAGGCGATGGAACAATTTTGACAGCCTAAACGTTGCGTATTTTTAAAAGAAGATCGTGTAAACAATTAAATTTAATACTTTTTATTTGCTCGAGCACGATTCAAGTCGAACATAAGTCAAATACAAACAAATCGAAATTAATTCAAACCGATCATAAACATATCGTTTACTGATATTTTCAAACATTAGCTAAATTCGAACATATCTGTTTTCGAACAAATCAAACACGAGCAGCTATCAAGCTTGCTAAAGTTCATCTTATTTACAGCCATACCTACACGTTAACTTTCATAGATGTTACCTCACCTATTTCACTTTTTTTTTAAAAAAACATTGGACGGTATAAATGTTAATTAAGAATAATAAAAAAGGATTTTAGGTGCTTGACATGTAAATGCATAGAAAATTGGAATTTCTGTTCTATGACTCATTTGAAGCTTTTCTGCTACAAAGTCCTACCTTTTTCCCAAGTATTCCAATAGATTCAGAGAACTTCGTTAACTTAATGCAGTCATAAAGAAATTGAAGCACATGCAGGCTTTTTCTGTAAGCTTTTCATCACCTCTCAGAAGAATATCCTTGTTTTTTTCTTTCATGTAAAATGTTACCCTTCTGATTATCTTCAATATTTATAAGAACTTGACAGCAAAAAGAAAAAAATTCACATGTGAGAAAAGCATCATATCAATCATATCTTCATCATATCTCCATTTATACCAGCAGTGTAGCTTTCAGCTAACTTCATCAGTCACAATGCAACAGTTGGGAAATATCTATATTATATTATTATATCAGTGTTAGTTGGATGAGAAAAGAAAATGACATCCTAACAAAGGAAAAGAAGGGAAGATGGACAAACTATTCAATGAGGTCCTTTTCAAGACTTGATAGAATAAGAGACACTGGACCCCTTCCTACTCGACAGCTTTTGCACAAATCATTCCACTAATTTAGGATGGCCTTCTAATTATAGCAATAATTGACGGCAATGAAAAAAAAAGAGGGAATTTTACATACATACAGCTAATATTCTTATGTTTTTACTTATCTAACACCTAAACTTCAATTTGACAATTAGACCACCGAAATCTTTCATATCACATAAAAAATATCACTATTTTAATTTTTAAAAATTGGAATACATTGCAAAAGAAAGGTGGCCGTAACCGCAAAAAGGAATACATTGCAAAAGAAAGGTGGCCGTAACCGCAAAAATTTGAAGTTTAGGTGTTAGATATGTATAATATATAAGAATTGAGTCGTATGTATGTAAATCTTCCTAAAAAAATCTCTACAATTTATTTAGAATAGTCAAATTTAAATGAATACCATTTCCCCAAATCAACCCACCACCCCCTTATTTCTCCCATATTATATCTTACCTGTGTTGCTCAGACATGACTACATCACATAATGCTATTGCCATAATAATTATAAATATAAGTTTCCTTAAAAAAAAAAATAATGAGTTACTTCAAGGAAAAAAAATAGAGCAGAAGAGAGTTTCAGGAACGACTAAAAATTGTTAATTTACTCCTCATATTGACACTTAAGTAGACATCACTATATACATAGAAAGAGATCTTAAATTATAACTGAAGCCGAACACAATCAGAGCTCAGCCTTCATGTTAATTGTTGCTGATCGGCCTGGAGTAAAGAATAAAAAATTAGATTTATTTATGTTCATTAAATCCATGAAGGATTAAACTATATAGAAGATACCATGAAAGTTTCGAGAGGTAAATCCACTATCCTGGTTCTGCACTGGGCTCATCTGAACAATACTATGAAGATCATCATCCCATAGAATTCCAAGCTGAAAGTATCTAAATTCATCATATATTTAAGGGAAAAAATCACATCGGATGCATCATATTGTCGTAAATTCAATACCTGAGAAGAAGAAGCTCCAAGAGCATCAATGGAAGCTGGCTGCAAGTATGGACTTTGATAAAAATTATAATTGAGCTGGCTCAAAGAGCTCTGAGTCTCCATGCCTTTGGTCACGCCTTTCGACTGGAAAATACAAGCTAAATTGCTGAAGGCGTGAACCGAGCTTGGCAAAGAAGCATTTGTTTGGCTCATAAGAGGCTGAAACAAACAAACGAAAAAAAGTTTTAAAAAACATGATGTTGGATATCAGCTTTGTGCTCATGGTGGTTTAATTGCTACCTCCTTCGCGACAAGGTTGACCAAATTATAATCTAACCGGGGATTCATTGTGGCTAGCTTCATCGAAAGGAACTGTAAATAAGAAAATTGAAATAGATATTATCATCTATAAGTAATGTAACACGGAAAACTTTACATACAATTTTGCTTTTTTTGTTGCAATCATCTACCTCAACCTGACGCTGTAATGACTGCACATAGTTTATTATCTCATCAAGCATGAGTGCTTTACCAGTTATCTGTTTTGTAACAGTCAAGCCAACAATATATTTGAGTTACTACACTAGTATTTGTTAAAATACTAAATTCTGAAAAAAATTTATTATACCTTGTTGCAACCTGGAACAAGATCTTGAAGCACTTTCATTCTTTGGCTTATTTTCTCTCTTCTAACCTGCAGGAAGTTATGAATACTGATTACACTATCCAGTAGGGGAGACTACTAACCTGCAGAAAGTTATGAATACTGATTACACTATCCAGTAGGGGAGACTATACAAAAATTATCTATAAATACTGAATACTGTTTTTTACCCTTTCAGCAAGGCTATGGCTATCAGTGGCTTGGCCTCTTCTTGCCCTGACATGGATGTAGCCTTTGGGAGGCTCAGGGAGCTCCGAGCTATTATCCTTCCCCTTCTTTTCCTCAGCATTATGTACTTCCTTAAACTCAAATCCAACCTTTTCATCACCAGTCTCAGCCGACCGGTTTTTCTTCACGTTTAAATTGCTCTCCTCAGACACCTAAAGCAAAGAAAGTCTCCAACTTTCTGTATAATAGAATATGAAAACGAAATCAAAAAGCAAACCGTGAGACAGATCAAAATCAAATACCTTTGCTTTGCTCTTCGGCACTGTCTTCCTCTTCCTGGCATTATTCTCTCCAGGTCTCGAACCAATATCCGTCACAGACGAATTCTCCTTTGACTTTAGAGACTGGCAGCTCGAGACCCTCGAGAGCTTACCGGCCTCCAAGATGCCAACTTTAGCATCTCCGTAGTTTCCAGAGGTGAAGGAAGAGTATCTCGCAGCCCTTTCCGTGAATCCAGGATCAGTTGGGAATGGTATCAAACAGTTTGTAGGCATGAAACTCAGAGAGTTGTTTATGAAACCGGAAATCTCGCCGGTGATAGCTTTCGCGGCTGCCATCGGCAGTGGAGTGATGGAAAGTCGGTCCATGTAATGTTTCCAATGGAGGTCGGGGAAAGTCGTCGCCTTTAAAGATTGGAGCTGTTGAAGGGAAGGTTTGAAGAATTGCGTAAAACTGAAAGTACCAGATGCGAATTTAATAAAAAGGGCTCGACAAGAAAAACGAAGCAGGTAGCTCTGGATGAGAATTGGGAGGAAATGGGTAGAAAACGTAGGCTATGAAGAAAGAGGAGGTGGATGACAGAGAAGAGAGGAATGTAAAGTTGACTAATATGGCTTTCGTGGTGGTAGTCAGTAGTTTTTATTTTCTAGAGGGAGGAAAGAGCATGGAATGGTCACCTCTGGAGCGAAAAGCCATCGCTGCTAATAGCTCAGCTTTTCTGAGATTACAGGGGAGGGCTGCAGGTTAGAACTTCGAAATAATAGAACCAAGCAGAAGGGGTGAAAGCTGCGGAGATTATATATTTTGAGTGAGTGCATCACCAAAATGAGATTAGATCAAAATATTTTGAATTACATGTCCATAAAAATTTCTCCCACTTAAACAATCAATGGGCTTGCCCTTATAGGAATCTTTTATGAATCCAGCTTAGTATAAACCCTTTTTAATTATTCGTATTAAATAAGAAAACTTGTCGGCTAATAAAATTGTTTTCGCAGACCAAACGGATGTCATATACTTCTTAGTTTATTTGATCGAGTTTCACCATCAAGTTTTGTGTTTATCTTTCGGGATAGATACAGGACTGGAGATGTTCTGGAAGTGTAGTGCTCTTTCATTTGAACTATAAAAGATAT